ACATGAAATGTTTATGCATCTCCAAACTCTCTAAACTCTTCGTTGGTGGGTTTCCTTCTTTGACTGCCTTAACAATGCTGTCTTTTTCCTTTACCTGACTTCTAAATATTGGGAGGTCCTTGGCGTTTGGTTCAGAGCCGTCTTCTCATTACACACTTTCTCTAGTTGACCACTTCTATTCACATAATTTTTAACTATTTATAGGTCAAGTCCAAAATTTAGACCTTTATCTTTAGAAATTTTTAACTTTAGACTTGTAGTTGCCTACACGATGTCTCCTTTTAGGTGATTCACAAATATCTCAAACATAATATGTCCAAACTCTTATTTTCTCAATTCCTTCCAAATAGTCTCTCCTTCCATCTTCCAAGGATCAATAAAGATCCCTTTCATCCACCAATTGTTTGAGTAAAAACCCCAAGAGACACTTCTAGATGCTTCCCTATTACTCCCCAATGTCACTAAGTCCTGGGGATCCTATCTCCAAAATATATCTTAAATCTATCATCTTCTCTTGACATTTACCTAGTCCAAGCCATCATCCGTTTATTAGTTCTTCAACCTTGAGGAAGTTATCAAACTTCTTAAATTCTCAGTAACTGTATCTACAAAGTAGAGATGATAATAGTATGTCTCATAAAATTATTGTGAAGACTGTATAATACATATAATACATGAAAAATGCTCAGTACCTTGTACGACCTCAACAAATGCCATTGTAATTATTACCATCATCACTTACAGATTACTGCAGTAGCCTCCTCCTAACTAGTCATCCACTTTCACTCTTGTCCCCTTCACTTCTTTCCCCACAGAACAGTTAAAACAACTTGGAGAAGCATATGTCCAATGCTTTCCTTAAAATGCTTTAATATCCTCCAGACGGTCTTAGGATAACATTATTCTTAAGTTACATGTTTACTTCATTTGTTTCTATGTTCATTTATTCAAGTACATATTGAACACCTACTATGTGTCCAGTGCTTTGTTCGGTGCTGGGAATAAAATGGTACTGAGAGAGAAATGGTCCCTGCTCTCATGGACAAACTACTTAGGGACACAAATATAAAATAAACAAGCAAATAAAATGTGATAGATATGAATGACAGTACGTGCTTAATATAGCTTATAGATGTTGCAAATCTGGACCCTTGCTTGCTTTTAAAACTTCATCTCACATCCCTCTTTTCCTGTTTACCAAACTATGGCCAGACTGGCCTGGAAAATATTTCACTTCCTCTTGTAACACAGTGTCTTCAAAAGTACTCCCTACTTAAGATGCTCGTCTTACTCTTCAGCTAACTCCTATTTATGCTTCAGGTTTCAGCTTAAATGTTACTTTCTCAAGAAGGCCTTCCCAGATTCACCACTTTTGTAGACTCTCCCATCCCATTATTCTCTTCATGGCACCTGTATTTCTATTTTTATAGCATTATTTGTGTGCCCCCCCCCCAACCCCACAATGTATACTTAGCACCTAATGCAGTTCCTGAAACAACATTAACATTCAAAAATGCTTATTGAGTGTCTATCTTTGTAATCTGGAAGTATTTTATACCCTATCATGCAAGAAGTAGAAGCTCAATAAGGGTTTGTTAAATTAAAGAAAATTGCTTAACAATTTATCTGAGATACATTATGACTTTAGCTGCTTCTAGCCAAATCCAAGATCATTTTCTAAGTCTTCATGGTTAGAGAGTCTTTAAGAGTAAGAGAATAAGGCTGAATGTTCGAGGATGGATCTAATGGAAAGGGTCACTTCGGCAGAAGGTCAACATAATTCAAAGTTTGTTCCTTGGTGTTGTAGGTTTAAAACTTGATTAGTTTACTCCATAATATTTAAGTTTTTGGAAAATTATTTCATTCCAATAAAATTCTTAAGAGAAAGATTAATCACAATTAGGATGGATAATTTTGTGAAATATACCACATAATAGACTGTTAAAAAATGGTTCTTATTCCATGATAAAGGACACATTTTCTATTTAATTCAATATAAATATCCAACAGGATTGAAATAAACTGTGCCATAAATATTCATGGCCATCTGATAAAGTGCTTCTTCCTTCTGGACAGTTCTAAATAAACACGAATTCTTACTATCCCTCCTTCCCCCATTGTTGATAGAAAACTTATTAAATAATTTGCTTCATTTGCTGATATTCCCATTTCTAAGATAATATCTTCTAAAACAAATTTTATGGCATTTGTTTCTTGATTATAAGAAAGGTGTTGTGGGGGACTTCCATTTCCAGGAATGCTGCACTAGGTAACTGTGACATATACTCTTCTAGGAGAAGCAGCAGAGAGCCAGAAATACAGTGAAGAATTTGAAGAATTGCCAGGCCTGGATCAGAATACGGATAGAGGTCGGATGAACATCTGGGCCCACTTTTTCCTTGGAGACATTCTTCTTTCCGGAATGGGTGGCTGAGATACTGCAGGGTGCTTCTGACAGCTTCGCAGAAGCAGGGGATTAGGGATTGGATTCCAGGATCCACCCATGGATGGGACCAAGTGAACCACACTCACTGTAGGTTGGTGCCTTAAAGAGCTGCACCCCAGGAGTGGGCATGAACTCTTCCAACACTGGGGTGGGGACTAGCTGTGGTGGACTTACTAAGTTATGGTAATGTCTATAGGCTCTATTCTATGAGCCAGTGAAGGGGTTATCAGGAATAATTATGCCTGTATTTTGTATTTAATGTCAGCATTGATTTTGAACTTGACCCCTGAGCAAGCTTTAACTTCAAGTTAACAGCTTTCAGCCTACTGCAATTACTTAAGAGGGCCACCTTTAGGGTTTTAGAAGATGGCCTACTCACTGTGACACCTGCTTAACTATGTTAAGATTCAATAATGAAGCCCTTCGTTTGAATACAGAGAAATGCCATGGGAGTAAGATCAGAAAATTCTTCTTGGCGTACAGAAGAAGTTTTAGAAGTACAGAAAGGCAGAGAAGCAGTTAAGAGAGAGGCAGTTACTAAAGCAGAGAGAATTCTTGATTACAAAAAAATCCCTCCTATATAGTGAAATCATAAGTTTTAGTGAGCTTAGGGAAATGTTTATAATAAGCTGGCACTCATTTCATCTGTTAAAGATCCTCAACATCTAGAAACACAAGAGACAAAGACAACCCAAGTCAAAACAAACTTTTAAAATAGAAAAAAGTATTTGAGGTGCCTGCTTTTCTATCCTTGAGCCGCTTGTTCGGCTGAGATATAAATGAGCACGGTGTATATTGCTACCAAATACAGGGGTCCCGATCTGCAGCCTCTGCTGTACTCCCTTCCAAATGCTAATGGCATGGTAAAGAGGAGAAAAATAAAAAAATAAATAAAAAAGCTTCCCCCTCCCCCAGGGAAGTTCTCTTTGTAATAATCTATTCATAACTAGCATTTGAAACAAAAATTTCAAAATGTCAGGGTCTTACTGATTTCTAGCTTTGTTTCTTAGTGTAGGAGGCTGCATCACAATACTTTAGCTTTAACATGGAAGCATCTCTCCACTGGTATTAGGTTTTCTAAGGTGAATTTTATTTTGCAGTATTAACCCCCTTCTGGTCTGAGTTCTTTCTTCTAGAACCTCAGAGAATAAACCTAATTCATCTTTCACGTACTTCCCCAGATTTGAAGTTAGCTATCATGTCAATTTGAAATGTTTTCTCTTCTCCGGGCAAATTTATCCCCAGTTCCTTCAACTGTCACATAACAGTGGTCAAACTTTATAGTTTTCATCACGTTTTTCCGTGTGAAAACTTATCCAAACTCCACTGCAATGTGACTAAAGCAGGGGACATTAATACTATTGCTTCCTTTTTTCCTAGGTCTTTTAACTATTAAAATGCAATTATTTCTGAAGCCCAATTCCTATCGCCCTGTTGGGATCAGAATTACAGTTAAGTACTATTGCTATTTCTTTGTCAAAGCTACTATAAAGCCAGGTTTTCCCCAGGCTGGACTCACACAATCGGTTGTTTTAGAACTGATGGGCAGGAACTTCACATTTATGAGCACTCAATCTTAGGGTTTTCAGCTTGCTGAGATCTCTTGTCATTCATTGTACCATCAGTCTTCCCTGGATTTATATTATTTGTAAACTTAGTAACTGTCTTTAACTAGTGCATGAGGCCAAGAACATAGGCCTGATGTAAGCCATCAGAGTTCTCTCCAAGTTTATAGATTTAAACCACCACGGTTATACTTGTGGTTCTCAAACTTTATGATGCATCAGAATCGCCTGGAGGGCTCGTTAAAACAGATTGCTGGTCCCATTTCTTTCTGAGAATTTGCATTTCTAACAAGTTCCTGGGAAACGTGATGAATATGCTTTGAGTAGTTAATTGTTCAACCAGCTACCATCTCAGGCCACCAAATTTCTTACAGACCCTTTAGTATAAGGATTGGCTGGATTTATTCTTATGCTAGAGTTATGCTGACTCCAAGGATATATTTTGTCCTAGTGCGCAAATTGATTAATTATGGTTCCATTTGCATAATTTTAAAGCTTTCAATGAGAAGGAAAGGATAAGTAGTGCAATTTAGTTAGAGCCTAAACTGGCTAAGTCTAGAAATTCCAGTGTTGTTTCAAATAAATGTTTAAATGTCAATATTGTCAAAGATTAAGTAAATTCTCCCTGAGAGATGTTGCAGTTTCCAAACAGATCTAAGTTCACCCAGCTCTCCATTATCAACTAAAGGGAACACTCAGCCTTCCCATCCTGACAACTTGTCAGCAACAGACGTTGAATTACAACTCCCAAGAGCTGACTGCACACCAGAAAATGTAGAGTCAAGGAAGGGAAATTTCAAATGCCCTCTGGTGTTAGAAAGAAACACTGTAGTTTCTCTGGCCAAAGTCATGAAGACTCCACCTAGAGTGAGAGCCAGGTATGCAAGACAAAGCAGTGGTCTATTAGCTTTTGATAATAAATACTATGCAACTTGAGTGTAGCAGCTGTTCACTGGCCCTCTACCCTCACCCCAAAATATGCTCAGACAACAATATTTTCACTTCATTTATTCCTTTAAAACAAGTCATTTCATACAGCATTTGGATATTTAAAATCACACACATCATAAATAAAATCAATGCATCTTAATGACAATGGCAATATCACATAAGAGTTGTACAAAATAAAGCTGGACATCTCCCAGGTAGCAGCAGTGCATTAACTCTGAAAAAATGTTGGCAAATAGACCAAAGAACACTTTTAAAACAAGAAAACCCTGTTCATTTTCATTAAAATATTTTCTTATGACAAGAAAACCAGACCTTTGCTCTGCTTTGCTATTCCTTACTACTTTTTCAAGCCATGGTCTAAAGCTCTAGGTCTGACCGTCTTGTGGTTTTCTTCTAGCTCCAAGTGTTCCTCTTCTACCGCATTAATACAGAAAACAATACTGCTTGGCAAGTTATACATATTTATTCATATCTTAAGCTCAATTCAATACTATTTTAAAGGAAGCATTACTTTTTGTTAAGGAAATTATATTTCCTGTAAACAACTTGAGTCCTGAATGGCACCAAGGTGAACTGGAAAACTGACGAGAACTGGGTGCCCTGGTCCTTTTAAGTAACTTATGGGCTACAAATAACTACATATCCTATATCAGTTATAAAGTCAGGCTTACGTTATCTTAGTAGAAATTCTAAAGTTTTCTTAGGTTAACATTTTTTAACCTACAACTTAACCAAATCATACCTTCACTATCCCTAAGCTCCTAAATGTATGTTTGTATTTTTAAAAACAAATATAAAAAGGCATCATACCAAAATGCTTATATTCGTGATTTTATACTTTAATGACTAGCTTTTCAATTATGACCCTGCTATATTCTATGCCAAAAAATGAGGGAGCAGGTTTAAGGTCACAACAAGGCATTGCCTGAAAACTTTTCATGGCTAGGAATGCTCCATTTGAGGATCTCTTCTGTTTACATGGTACTTTACCCTCCCGCCCCTTTCTCCCTACACTCTAAAACAGCATGGGAGGGCTGTCAATCTCCTTCAGTCATATGAACCAAGACCTAAATTAGCACCCCACAATTCAATATCAATGTAATCATTTCTTGAAAGTCAAATATTCCAAGCACTGTAAACAAAATACCAGCTAATTTTTGCAAAAGAAATATAAAACCCTTTCCCACAATCAGGGAAGCTTTTATTCTAAGTTAGATGAAATGTGCTGAAGTATTACAACTTTTAGTAAGAAAACATATTTAGTTAATAAACTAGCTTATTCAAATCAAGTGTTTCACCGAAGTGTTAAAAATGTTGCTCATTACGTATGATATTCTTAAGGCCTCTGACTCAAAAATCAGCTCCCTAAAAATAAGTTTGCTTAGAAACAAAGGATGAATTTTAAGAATCTAATCTTTTCAAAGTTGTTACAGTCGTCTTTGTGCTACTAGGACAAATCTGAATACTGAACTGTACAATGAATGATAAAGAACAAGCACATTATAGAAATAATATTTTAAATGCTGGGGCACAGAGCATGCTCCTAATAGTTACTGAAATTGTGTGCTACTGTTATCAAAACACCAGAATGTCACTATACACTGATGGTAATTGTTGATTATGAATAGCTGATTGTAAGCAGCTCAAGAATTATATTTTAATGTCTTTAATAAGATCCCTGGAGAGGGCTAACATGTAAACTTTCATTTCATATTTTTTAAAGTGCTGCAAATAATAACAAATGCCTATTTTAACACATGAAAGAACATAAATCTTAATATATGGAACTTTAGGAAGGCCACCTGATTCATAAAAAAATCACTCTGCTGCTAATCTTGCATACTCCCCATTCTAATTTTTATTTTTCCAAAAAAGACATAGAAAACTATGTTTATCTAGCGCAGCCTGCAACATCCATGTTTTAAAGCCTATATAGGATAGAAAGAATAAGCTTGATAAGCAAGTTAGGCATGGGCACTTAGGGGCATGTATAGATAGATCATTCATTCCGGATTATGATTTTGTGGGAACCTGAACTTCATGTAATAATCAAGTGGTGTGACTATATTAGTTTCTGCCAACAGGGTCAAGCTGACTAACAGTCAAACTTTCAAGGGCATTTTTCATACATGGGGCACAATTAAAAAATCAACCATGGACCACTAACAGAAGATGTACCACACCGGTGTCTTCATATGACTATCACATCACAAAATTCCCAAGGATGTAATTTTAACTTCTGAAAACACTCTATCTAGAAGTGCATCTTCATAGCCCTACACCTAATTTTTAAATCCAAAGAGTAAGGGGAAGAAGAGTAATGGAAAGGAGTGGGGGATGGGAACGCACAATCTTCATTCTGCCACTAATGTAAACCATTTTCATTTTAATTTAAAAAATATTTTTGTATGGCAGTCAAAAACAATGATTAGGAAGAATGGCTTCATTCTGCTCAAGCACAAATTTAAGAAAAAGTTTCTTTTAATCCTACTCCAAGTACTAAATCCATAGATTTTCAAAATTCTCAAGAATAGAATTCACACATTGATCAACAAATTTCAAGAGTAAAAATCTCTTTAAATTCTGTGAGGCTCATAAATTTGAGTTTAGAATGAGTACAAGCTTAGGGTTTTCATCCTCAATAATTAAATCAAATGATCTGCAATTCTGAATTTTCCATGATCAGAACATTAAAGTCCTAGTGCTGAATTTCAGCAGTTGGTTAATTTAAAAAGCCATTACTGAGAGCAATCTGACTGAGTTTCAGTTTTCAATTGGTTAACGGACAACCTAGATAACAGGTAAACTAGAATAAGATCCCTTGAATAAACACTTGACACTTGTTATGAAAGTATAAGCTTAAATATACAAAAAAATATTTAAAATGGAAGGGTTTATTTTTATCAAATATCAGGTTCTTTTTCTTTCCATTTGTTAAAGTAATCCAATGTTGATAGAGTATACTAAATTTTCAAGTGACAGAAATTTATGTTGAGAAACACATTAATAGATGCCTGGTCCATTGTAAGTTACTCAATAAATATTTGTTGCATGAATATAATTCTCTAAAATTCCAGTTAGTAAATGTCAACTTTGGCTCCTGAAGTACCTAAGAAAGGAAGGCAAATAACTTGATGGATGTTACCCAGTGGTACACTCTTCACTTAGTTTTAAATTTAGTATTTTCTCGGGGAAGTAAGAGATACAAAAACCTTTTAGACCAGAGGACAGGCAGGTACCAAGAGATTTTCAATTATATTCATTTGTACACATTATGATTGCCAAACATCAAGTATCGCACACTCAACAAGTGCTAATTTTTAAGCCTCAGTAAAATAGAAAATTAAACACTTTTAAGTTATACTGACCATAGTAACTTTTGCCTAAAGCAGCTATTCACACAAAAGGTACTCAAAATGTCAACTAATAACTTCAAGCACATTTTGTGAATTGTTTATTAAAGGTACTTTCCCCCTAAATTGTTTACATGTACCCTAATTTAATATGGCCACCTCCATCAAGTGAAAGTGCTAAAAGTTAATCTCAATTTTATAACATTTGTCAACAAATATGGTGAAAGAGATTTAAGTGTTTTAAAGTATACCACTGGTTTTCTAAGTGAGATACTTAATAAAAAATGAGACCAATATAACAAAACTTCACAACATTAAGCCTCTTCACATCATATGAGATAATACATAATAAATGATAATTTAGCAGCCCTGATCGTCAAAAGGTTTACAAAAAGAGGTAGAAAACTCTTATCTGGAAGATCTCATAGTGAAGCTAAGTTTTAGAGGGTTTGCTTTAAGGATTAGCTCAACCAAGCAAATGGCTACACATCTAAAATTAGGAAGAAGCTTATTTAGGTAAGGCAAGAATTTAAAAACTGTCATATTTTGGAAGTGAAACTAACTCATTCAATATTATCCCAATTACTTTAAAACTCTTCAAAAGCAAGTAAAAGACTGTGGATAAGCAAAATGATAATTTTCAGAAAGATGAAATTATTAAGAGCATTAGTGGTAGGACAAAGCTAAGATAAAAACAAATACTGTTTAGATAAGCAAAAGATCTCACAAAACCCAAACCAAAGCATATCATTATCACTTTTCTCTAAAATTCCAGTTAGTAAATGTCAAGTTTGGATATTTACCTTTGGACATCAAAATGTTCCTTTTGATGAAGATTTTTTTTAGGAGTTGGAGGAAGTGCTCTTAACAGCTTAGGAAATTAAATCCCTCCAAATCTTTATGTAAAAAAGCAAAATTCAAGCATTCAAATTTCATGGAACTTCATTTAAAAAAACATACCCTGCTTAATTTTAAATTTTATCTAACATGGCAAAGATTAGTAAATGAGTTGCATTAAAACACAAGGCCAACGGTCTTTTAAAGCTTCAGTAAGCTGCTCAGGCACCTTTTCTCTCATACATTCTACTTTTATACACTAGAAATCCTAAATTGGGCACTATCAGTTCCTGTTTTTAGGTAACATTCTCAGGGAATAGACTTATCCCTGTAAAAATTGTAATGTACTTGTAACTGGTTAAGTACACATTTATAAAGGCTACCAAATTGCAATATAAAATCAGTTTTGACAGTTCTGTGTATCTTCATTTGAGGAATCAATTCATAATTTAGAGACTATTAACTCAAAAAGGACTCGATTACTAGAGACACTGGTTTATGTCCAGTGGCCTCACATGAGGCCTTCGGCTTTACCCAAAATATGAAGCTGTTTTCTTCTACAAGTTAATGCTGCTGGGTTCTAGTTTGTAACACGAGAACTCAATCTTCAGGTTAGCGTCAGCAGGTAGCAAGGACCACCTATTTTGTCACACCAGCAGAGAGAGGGCACGTATCACTGCTGTAGACACACACCTGTAAACTTGCACACTAATTTTAATCTTAACAAGGTATTTCAGTGCCTTAGTGGTTTTAAGTTAAAAGGATGGTTCAAGCGTTGTGTCCTTGGTTCTTTAAGGTTATGAATAGCTTATTGGAAAACCCAGAACCTTCTGGATCTGTGAGGTAGTAGGCTTCAATCCTCATCATGCAGAGATCACACTTCTCCAAAGTTGGTATGGCCTGTCTCCTTGGCATGTTCTCTTGCTTCTGCTTGTCCAGTTAATCCCTTCTGACATATCATGCATCTCAGGGTGAAGTGGTTTACATCAGTAAACTGTCTCTTTCTTCTGGCTTCGTCTGCTAATTCTAGTGCTTGCACAAGAACAATATCATCGTTAGAGGAGAAAATGGTCAGAGGAGGGGTGTCTGGGTCAGGAAAGTCACGCTGAAGCGGATCATAGTGGACGCCATCATAAATAAGCAGGACCCTTTTGGTATACCCTGCATCTTCCCCAAAACGATCAATTCTTACTGTCTGTGTATCCACTACACATATCTCACATTGATAAAATTTGGACAAAATTGATATTTCAATAGCTCCTCCCCAAGTGTCATCCCTTTTGATCCATTCACAGTACTCCTGATTTGTTTTCCCCAGTATTGCTTCGCTATAGAAATCTGGATCACTTGCTACAATTCGTGCTATGAGGCGTCTCATCTCAGGGGCGCAAGCTGGATTCAAGACTCCTCCTTCAACAACATAGTACACACTGGTAAAGAGGCAAGAGTTGTCCGCTGGGACGGAGGTTCTGGTAAGCACAGGCAAAGTTTCCCTGGCATTACTAGGAGCACCATGTCTGGTAAACGCAGGTGAAGTGCGGGGCCTGGTTTGGTCTTCTTCAACGATCAGCATGTCGCCTGTTAAAAATAAAACAAATCCAGGACTGCAGGGAAATTATAGGTGAAACTGGACGTTCACTAGCTAAGTCTGTAAATTACAAACAGAAGGAGTTAAAGTATAAGCTGGGGTTACCAGGGAGAAGAGTTTTGCAAACAAGTGACCAAGTAATACTTCCTGTTCACCTGAGTCTTCATCAAGTTCAAAACAAACAAAGTGCAAAACACTTTAGGTTGTGTCCCAATTTTGTGAAGGGGCCTGGGGTTATACACCTTTATAGCTGCTTAAAAAGATACATTTCAAGAACAAAATCTCCTTATGCTTGCTCTCTGTACCTAAAAAGCACAGATCTTCCAAAAGGTGTTTATCATAGACTAGGCCACTAGGGGGTTCTCCTCCTTCTGAAAGTTATCTTAGCCTGTTTGGTGTTTACAGGATCCCCCATACAACAGAGGAAACCTTTTAATTATCAACATTGCTATTCAAGTTTTAACACTGGACAGAAGTAACTGCTGTTGTTTAGAACTTGACAGGGCCTTTAGTGGGTGTGTAAAAGCAAACTCTACAGTGAGTACACCTGTCAAAGTCAGTATTATACAAAGTTGATAGCAAAAACAAGCCAGGAAAGCAAGAAAGAAAAGCATCCTGCATCCTTCAGGCCCGCAATCTTCTTTCAGTGACATAGGGGGGAAGAACCATTAGGACAGAGAAAACAGGCCCTACTTTATCTGTACTTTGGGGGACGCCGAGGGAAAAGAAAATGAATGGGACGTTTTCAAGGGAGTCCAGAAAGCAGGCTGAGGACGGGGGGACTCCGAAGGCTTTGCTTTCTCACATAGGCTGGGGCGTCCCCGTCTCCCTCAGCTGGCGCCGGGCCCCGTCAGGGTTCTCGGTGCTTGAATCAACCCTCAGCCTTGTCCTCAGAGCCCCTGCGGACCCACAGCCGCGCCTTTACTGGTCCTGTCCTCCCTCACGCCCCTTGCCATCCTCTCAGGACTTCCCTGGCCCCAGCCTCGATTCCCTTACCCGACTGGATGGGCAAATCCCCCAGCATGGTGTCGCCATCGCTGAGATCCAGGCACTCGGGCGGGTATCCGACGAGGATGCGCTGACAGCCGGGGGCGATCCCCGTGATGGCAGCAATTTGGCCCTGGAGTTCCCGCACCCGGGTCCGGCTGGACAACTCCTGCAAAACATAGGTGCCATCCTTGGCTTTGCAGCGGAGCCGCCACATCGTGTCGGTCCGGCCACCCATTTGCCAGGCGCCCGCGGGGCCAGCCTTGGTCCCGGCAGCAGGATGGCAGACGCCGCCGGGGCCACCCGCCGCCGAGGGGACTCCAAAATGGCCACCTTTCGCCGGGCCAAACATCGCGAGAAGTCGCAGCCGGCTACAGTTTTCGCGATACTTTGGTGCCGCTTCTGTTTCAGCGCTTTAAGAAGAGCGAACTCTCTTAAAGTGACATCTAATTTTTGTCCCCACCCTTCAGGAGCCGAAGGATGAAGACTTATCAGTATCCTTAAAAGAACAAAAGGTCTTGCTACCTGTAGAGCGAGTGAGGTGCCCTCCGCGTCGACCGCATATATGCTCAAGCAAAGAGGGCGGGGAAGGAGTTCCTGAATCCAGTACATTGGAATGTAATCTTGCACTTACTGAGGTCGGAAATTATTAAATTGGGGCTTCCACACTACACCGGGAGAAACAGAATCATGGTTCAGAACGCAAACGAATGCCAAGAATGGTCAGTGAGTCAAAGGACCTGTCAAAAATAACCAGATGCTCGGGAACAGACTCATGGCTGCAGCAAACATTGACTCATTGAGGTTAAGGGATGACTGGCCTTGCCACCTCCACGAGACTGTAACTTGAAAACGTCTATTGGCCACATCAGAAAGCGCAGTATGAGGTCAGACTCATACTGCGCTATTGCCCTGGGACCTGGGGCAATTGCTACATGCAGGGGGTGGCAGGATAAGGAGAAGGGACGAAGAGGACTACTGTGTGTCACCCACATTCCAGCTCAGGCTCTGAGTGTACAAACAGGAAGGTGATTCCATTCCTGCCTTCAGCGTAACAAGTACTCACTGTAGTCGGAAGAGAGGGTTGGGTGTTAAGGGCACATAACCACTGAATTTCACAGCAACGTAATAATGCTAGATTATGTGACCCTGTTCAACCCTGTATCCCTAGACCCAAAGGTCGTGTCTACCAAGTAAGTGCTCAGTACATACCTGCCGGATGGATAAAGAGGGCAACTATATATAATATACTGGGAGTTGCAATAGGGCTTCAAAGAGGAGATGCTATTAGAGCTGTTTGAAGAAAGACTTTAATCCCCAGGTGAAGGAGAAATAAAGACGTGTCTGAATATGCCTCTCTTCGAGGAATTAATTACCCATACTCTTTATTCTTTTTCCATCCTTATAGAGCCGCAAGCCCAAACCTGCGTAGAGGGGGTTTCTCAACAGAATCAAGCATCAAACGTACGGGAAAAGTTAACTTGAAATGTGCAAACTCACCACTGTACAAGCCTCTCTACCCCTGAATAAGTTACACGTAACCTTTGAATCTTTTCGCGCCTTTCAGACCCATTTTCCTGCCGGAGCCGGACTCCTTTTCGGTTCTTCAAGATGACCGTAGCAAAAGGTACAGTGTGGCAGGTAGGAGAGAGACTATCGTCCACTGGGATATGTGGCGGGGTCCTGGATCGGCGATTAGCAGGTGGCCTCTGGGAAGACGACGCAAACACCCTAAGGTGCTACCCGCCCACGGACTGAGATTCACGGAGGAAAGGGTTAACCTCCGCAACGTTTTTTTCGCCACGAAAAAGTCGCATCTTCTCGACGTCTTCGTTCACTCTCGCGAGAGTATGAAAAAAAAGGGAATCCTTTCAATAAACCCCGCCCCCAGCCTTATGAGTTGCCAAGCAACGATGCAACCAACCTCCACAGAGCCGGGGAACTTGGGAACCTGAGCGCTTTCCCCTCCCCGGCGGCGGCGGCGTCCTGCTGGAGCCGGCCTCGGAGCTTCCCGTTTGAGCCCCGCCCCCCGGGGTCTGCGGCCGCTGGATTGGTCGGGGATTCTCTCCAGGTGAGGAGCGGCGTGGGGGTGGGCGGGGCCAGGCGGCGGCGCTGGCAGTGCTGGCGGCTGGC